GGCGGGGAGCATCCGGTGTGGCGCCAGCCCCGGGGTGTTGCCTACGGAGAATGGCTGTAGCGCCTTCCAAGCCGAGACGGAGACTGCGCGGGAGGTGAGCGTGTGGTTTCAGACTCCTCCTTCTGTGCAGCAATGAGATTTAAAAATCTGGCTTGTGAACGAATGCAGGGGGTTCTTGTAAAATATAACATAACTTTTTTTCAGCTCTTCCTTCTTTTGTAACACTGTCTTGAGTGCATACCTCGTTTAGGATTTTTATAATAGGCAACTTACAGAAGTACTTCGTCTGTAGTAGACGAGATGATACCAGTTAGGAGTGAGAGATAGTTGGTTATGGTCTGCTAAATATTCTATAACTTTGGAATGTTATCTGGGGGCACTATGGTTGTAGCATCTGAAAAGTAGAGACAGGTTAGGAAGGACCTTTATTAGAACCTTTATTACGACCTAGGAAGATTATGAAGGTCCTTTATTATAATAATTCATTAAACAGGTGTACGTGATAACTGAACCCCTATGGAAAATAGATGAGTTTTCGGTTAAACTGGTTTCTATTCTAGGTTTGAAAGCCCGCTTTCTGTTAAAAAGTCTTGCTTGTTTAATTTTCCTTCAGGTCTCGGATAGAGTAACGGGAGTCAAATTTAAGTGGGGGTCTAGTGTATATCTGTGCTCTTCATATTGCCTCTGTTCCCCTTTAGTTATGTCACTGTTATACTGACTGATGTTCAGGTGCGATGTGTAACGTTCAGTTAGAGGAGTTTCTGACGGCTTCCAGCCCACATAGATATCCCTGTGAGTGACTCCTGCAGCTCCTCCCAAAGACGTGATCATCAATACCTTTTATCAGTATCTCACGTGTTCTATTCTACCGGGGAATATATTTACCCCACGAAAGTAGGCTTTCCCCCCCGCCCTTTAGTCCACCTTTCATTGTCAAGCTCGCATATTTAGTAACCATTGGTCCAAAAGCTCTGTAACGATAAGGAGCCACAAATTCCTTAGAATGCCCTTATGAGTCTTGGTATAAAGGAACTGCTAATAATTTATACAGTTGCAGAGCACTTCCCATATCCAGAGCTAGAAGTAAGGCTGGCTTGTTCTGGACAACGCTAAATGTTTTCTTTCAGCAGCATAGAGATTCTCTGCCAACCCTTTCAGACACCTTGAGAAAGGTCACCCGTTTGTAATTTAATTGCTATTACATGGACGCCGCAATAATATGATTTTGGGATTGGAGGTGTGAGTCCTATTCCCGAGATAGAAGGCAAAATGAGGATATTTTCCCTGGCTTCTTGATGGCTTAAGGATGGCAGACATTTGTCACTGATAGGAAAGTATTTTTTCCCTAAAAAGATGTGGCCTTGTGAACAGAGAGTAGTGGAAATGCTCCGCAGTGCTTGCTTCGTAAAGGAAAGAGTATCTGATTGTTTTGCTTGGATGGCTTTGCAGTTTAGTAGAATGACAGCCATGAAGAGCTTCAAGGGACTTCAACAGCTCGAGTTTGCTGCTCTGCACCGAGGTATTCTATGTTGATACTGGCCCCCGCAGGTGTGTGTGTGTGTGTGTGTGTGTGTGTGTGTGTGTGTGGTGTACACAGACGCGTACAACTATGTAAGATTGCATGTTACCCTTATATCTTGATGCTACAGTTCTCAAGGATACCACTAGCCTTGCGTTTTACTAGGTAGGAGGAAATGCAAACATTCCTGAAGTGGAAAATAGTGGAAAATATACAGGATAACATTACATTGCATCCCTTTTACATAAAGTTCACTAAAAGGTAACTACTTTTTCCCAGCGAGTAATGGTGCTGAATGGAGGGAGAAACCCACAATCATGTCACCTGCTGCCTTAAGACAGATCCAAGAAATACCTACCTCCTCCCACTACTAACTGGGACATCACTGTCTATGCAGCCGAGCTCCGCCGTTACCAACTTTAGAAGAGACTCAGCTCCAATCTTCAGCCATAGAAAACACGCCTTTGCCTGCCGTTTATATTATTCCCACTGAGGTGCAAATGAATACTGCAAGTGTAAAACAGAAATGAACACTGAAATACAATGGAAATTTACAAGTGAATATCTCGGGCTAACATTCAGTTTTATCAGGCGGTGACAACCTTCTACGACTCAGTAACAACCTCACCAAAAGAGTACATGAGTACCTTTACTTGCATAAGTGAAATACACATAAAAGGACAACGAGCGGGACAGATCAGCACAGAGACAGACACAGAGGTGATAGGTTCTGGAAGCCATATACAATTATAGTGAAAATATAAAAAGCAGAAGCATTAACTCCTTGTAAGGCATAAGATTAACTCCACTGCTGATCCGTCGGGAGCACTTCAGTCTTTAATTCCTCGTTAAGAATGGGAAAAAGAAGCATCTCTGGCACTTCAAGTATCAAAGGAAATCACCTCTCAAACTTTCTACTAAAGAGAGTCTGCAGTTATTGGTTAAGACTCTGAGCGCCGCTGTTCACCAATCAGGGAGAGAAATGAGCCGAGAGACCCAGCCAGCCCAGCGCCGCCGCCGCACAGCTCGCAGCAGATAGCTCAGACTCGCACTCGCACAGGACTGACTGTAGGTGCAGGCTATTCGCGGAATTCGGCTGAAAAATTAGCACCTGATATTGTCAGAAACAATCGGCCCGAGAACACCTCCAAGCAGCAACTCTCGGCGGCGGAGAGGCAGTGGATCCTCCGGATCGCCATGGCCAGTTCCGGAGCACAAGGGCTGCGGCGCTGCGCCGGGCGAGGC